ACAGAGACAAGAGCAGCCAGAATGCTCTGAAATGGGCTCTTGAGAACCTTGTCTCCAGGGGCCAGACCATCACCCTTGTCCACGTCAACACTCAAGGTCGTCTCTTCTTATATATACGTGTGTGTGTGTGCGCTTTTGTACCTCAATCTTAATTTCCATCTCTAGCTGCATCTCTCTCTCTCTCTCTCTCTCTTTTAATTATAGCAACCGATTCGAGCAACTGACATTAAACGTAACCCGCTACTGTTGTTTTTTAATTTATGACCAGGACAACAAACCGAGGCTTCTGCGAACAACATGTTCCTCCCCTTCCGTTGCTTCTGCACTAGAAAGGATGTACGTCACCTCAACTGCTTGCTTAGTCCGTAATTAACCTCAGTCCTGGGGGGCAAATACAATCAGCATCAATCGACATTATTAATTCTTATGGAAATTAATTAAAACCTTAGCCAGCTTCACGCTTAATTAATGACGCCTGCATGTAATCAAGCAGTAACTAATGCATGCCCCCACACTCCCAACGCGCATGCACGCACCCCGATGGTTTTATGCGTGCGTATATCTTAAAGAGTGCTGCTACAGGGACTCCCCAAAATAATTAATGACGCCTGCATGTAATCAAGCAGTAACTAATGCATGCCCCCACACTCCCAACGCGCATGCACGCACCCCGATGGTTTTATGCGTGCGTATATCTTAAAGAGTGCTGCTACAGGGACTCCCCCTCTTAAGCAAGCAACTTACAAATTCTTCTCTTAAAACAGGTAAAGTGCAAAGACGTCATCCTGAATGATAGCGAGGTGGCCAAGGCAGTCGTTGATTTCGTTTCTGAATCCACCATAGACAAGCTGGTCATTGGTGCGTCATCATCCAAAGGAGCGTTTGCCTGGTAAATTCCTGACTCCAACACCCATCACCTTTCATCCTCGATCTGTTATTTCTTCATGGTGCTTAATACGTAGCTTCTTGCATCCAGGAGAATCAAAAGTTCAGATATCTCGAGTAATATATCCAAGGGAGCGCCAGATTTCTGCACAGTTTACGTGATCTCCAAGGGGAAAGTTTCATCCATCAGGAATGCTACCAGAGCAGCACCTTCTGTCTCTCATCAGGGACACCATTCTCAGAGTAAAGCTAGCATCAAACCCGACCCTCGCCAACTCTCTGTGACACCAAGAGGTCTCTGCCATTTCTCCAGTACTTTTTAGCCTCTTACTTTAGATCAACATATACGTTTCCTTGTTTCCCATCAGCTTTGGTAGTTTGATCATCATATATATAAACACCGTCCATATTAACAGGTCCTGCAGTACCAGAGTCTCGTAGCCCTCACCTCAGCCATACCGAAAGAGATCAATTCAGGTAGGCACTCGCCACGAAATAGCCATACTGATACATATTTTCACAATTTCTTAGCCCAAATTTACTTGTAAAACTACAACAGGTCTCCGTTCACAAGAGGAGCTCGTGGCATGAGCACAAGACCATACAGAGACAAGAGCAGCCAGAATGCTCTGAAATGGGCTCTTGAGAACCTTGTCTCCAGGGGCCAGACCATCACCCTTGTCCACGTCAACACTCAAGGTCGTCTCTTCTTATATATACGTGTGTGTGTGTGCGCTTTTGTACCTCAATCTTAATTTCCATCTCTAGCTGCATCTCTCTCTCTCTCTCTCTCTCTTTTAATTATAGCAACCGATTCGAGCAACTGACATTAAACGTAACCCGCTACTGTTGTTTTTTAATTTATGACCAGGACAACAAACCGAGGCTTCTGCGAACAACATGTTCCTCCCCTTCCGTTGCTTCTGCACTAGAAAGGATGTACGTCACCTCAACTGCTTGCTTAGTCCGTAATTAACCTCAGTCCTGGGGGGCAAATACAATCAGCATCAATCGACATTATTAATTCTTATGGAAATTAATTAAAACCAGGCGACACCTCACCTGTCCCACTCAGGGTCCCCTATTTTGGAGGTCCCTGTAGCAGCACTCCTCTTAAGCAAGCAACTTACAAATTCTTCTCTTAAAACAGGTAAAGTGCAAAGACGTCATCCTGAATGATAGCGAGGTGGCCAAGGCAGTCGTTGATTTCGTTTCTGAATCCACCATAGACAAGCTGGTCATTGGTGCGTCGGACAGGGAGGCGACACCTCACCTGTCCCACTCAGGGTCCCCTATTTTGGAGGTCCCTGTAGCAGCACTCCTCTTAAGCAAGCAACTTACAAATTCTTCTCTTAAAACAGGTAAAGTGCAAAGACGTCATCCTGAATGATAGCGAGGTGGCCAAGGCAGTCGTTGATTTCGTTTCTGAATCCACCATAGACAAGCTGGTCATTGGTGCGTCATCATCCAAAGGAGCGTTTGCCTGGTAAATTCCTGACTCCAACACCCATCACCTTTCATCCTCGATCTGTTATTTCTTCATGGTGCTTAATACGTAGCTTCTTGCATCCAGGAGAATCAAAAGTTCAGATATCTCGAGTAATATATCCAAGGGAGCGCCAGATTTCTGCACAGTTTACGTGATCTCCAAGGGGAAAGTTTCATCCATCAGGAATGCTACCAGAGCAGCACCTTCTGTCTCTCATCAGGGACACCATTCTCAGAGTAAAGCTAGCATCAAACCCGACCCTCGCCAACTCTCTGTGACACCAAGAGGTCTCTGCCATTTCTCCAGTACTTTTTAGCCTCTTACTTTAGATCAACATATACGTTTCCTTGTTTCCCATCAGCTTTGGTAGTTTGATCATCATATATATAAACACCGTCCATATTAACAGGTCCTGCAGTACCAGAGTCTCGTAGCCCTCACCTCAGCCATACCGAAAGAGATCAATTCAGGTAGGCACTCGCCACGAAATAGCCATACTGATACATATTTTCACAATTTCTTAGCCCAAATTTACTTGTAAAACTACAACAGGTCTCCGTTCACAAGAGGAGCTCGTGGCATGAGCACAAGACCATATGGGGATTTCTCATCGCCAGACAGTGATATATCCTTTGTGAGCACTGGCAGGCCAAGCGTTGATCACAGCTACCATCATAGGATGTCCAGTGCTCAGGAAAGTTACGAACACAGCTTTGAGATGTCACAACCATCATACAGTAGTTACTCAGCAACCAATAACCACTCTTCCTCCTCACATGGGCCCTCATCAATGCAGTATATGGTAAGTCTAATTCGGTACAAGCCCCATTAGTCAGTTTCTGTAGATCTCAACAAATTTCAAGTTCGTTCCTATGAGTCATCTATCTTCATTTTGGGCCTTTACGATTCCAACAAGGCATTAACAAATAAGTTTTGCTTAATATACATTGTCGACTAGCAATAAGCTTAAGTTTCTTGCCCAATCTAATGTGGCATTAGAGAACTAGGTTATACCTTATCCTTGATAATCAAAATATGTTTATTTTAATATTTAGCATAAAATTTCAATTATTTCACGTTGGAGTAACTGAGCCAAAAAGACATATAGACCAGTTTTTTTTTTCTGGAGAGAGACCAACATGAAATATCAAGCTTTTATCAAGTCAATTGCACTACAACAACAACAATGCCATCCAAATGACAGTTTGTAGATGGTTAAGACCCAATTTGTGTTGAGACTTGCAGGATGATGTGGAAGCAGAGATGAAGAGACTGAAATTAGAACTAAAACAGACAATGGATATGTACAGTACTGCTTGTAGAGAAGCACTCACCGCTAAACAAAAGGTAATTGGTTCAGCTTCTATCAACTTGTTGCTCGAGGATGCAAACCCTTTATTCAAAATATATTTTGCCTGCAGGCAATGGAGCTCCACCAGTGGAAGATGCTGGATGAGAACAGGATAGAAGAGGCTCGGCATGCAGGAGAAGAGGCAGTGGCTATGATGGAGAGAGAGAAAG